CTTGCTTACTCTTCCCATCTTCCTTTGTGAGGCTTTCACCCCTTTATGTTTTATCTCTTAATCTGTGGGAGGTCTTCCTCAAAATGGCAACTTTAGATTGCCATGAATATTCTAGTGTTTCTAGTCATAATTCCTGACCCCTGTCTCCTGGTCCGTACCTTCTTTCATCAAGTGTCTGTTTATGAGGTGTCTCAGATTGGCTATCTCTCATATCAGTTTCTACAGAGCAAGGCCCTCTCCTTCCACAAACCTTATGTTAGTAAAGCCAGAGCCTCTCTCCCAGTTTTTAATCTTGATGTAATTTTGACTCTCCACTGACCTCAGTTTCTGAAATCTAGTCTTTTGCTTTGGGCCTGGGTTTAGACAGGCCAACCTTACCTCATACACATCGCCTCCATTTAACTCTGTGTCTGTTACTCTCAAAGCTGGTTTTCTCATCTGTGTCTTTTACCCTGCATCTCCACTACCTGACTTCACAATTATTCCCGCCATTTCCAGTCCCCCAGCTTTTTTTGCACTGAGATAAACTTCCAGGTCTTTGCTTCTTCAGGGTATTCTATACCCTTCAAATCTTTTTTTAAAATCTATTCTACATATGCATCAAAGAATCTTTAATTCATGTATTTTTTGGGGGGAGTCTTACTAATTTAATTTTCTACATCTCACTTATGGAGTTTTACATGCTGTCCTGGGTGACTGAAGTTCTTTTCATCTTCTGTCACTCCCAAACCACCTGTCTTAAAATTGTTTCTTCAAATCTATTCCTATACAAAGTTGAGGTAATACACATATATCACCCACCCAATTCACGTAACACAAACTTATCCGTATAATTCACTGGAACTGTTTTATTTATTATTGCAAATGTATAATTATTTTTTCTTTGGTAGTTTGTGTGTCTTGTTATTTTAATAATTTTCATCCATGAACTCGATACTCCACACGGCCTCTAGAACATTGCCACCTACACAAGCCAAGAATCTCCTATGTCAATTGCTTTTTCTTTTTTCCTTTCAATTTCCCCTCCTGCATCTTTTGACATACACTTCTCTTCTCTCATTTCCTGGGATCCTATTAACTTGTGTGTTTTCATTATTTCTGCTTCCTTCTGCACTTCTTTCTTTCCTTTCCTTCCACCCCTCCTCTGATTTCATTTTCCTTCATCCTTCTTATTGTTCATCTAATATTCACCCTTTTTTCCTTCTTCCTGGTCTGCTTCAGCCCCTGTCCTTCCCCTTCTCTGCATCTCTCATGACTCACTTCTGTGGTCCAGTTCTCTAACTCAGTACTTCTTAACCTCCAGCCCATTCTTCCTCCGTCACACAACTTTTTCAAAGCACAAACTACCACCCGAACATTTTCCTCTCCGACTTGACCTTCTCCCCCCGCCCCCGCCCCACTTTGTCCTTTCTTTCTCCGTAGTTCTCTACTTTTCCCACACTTCAGTTTGCCTTCCTCTTGACTCCTCCCAGCAGCCCCTGTCCTACTAGCGCTCCTTGGGTCCTTTACTCCTCAGCCTCTCTCCCACCTAATACTTGTCATCATTTCCCTCTGACCCCAGCTCTCCCTCTTCTTTGTCCCCTTCCAATTTCCTCCTAGTAGTCGCTTCGCTCTCTCTTCCCAGGCGCTTTCTACAATTCCAACCTCCGCTCTCGCCGGTCTCTGCCCTCTCTCTCCAGCTCTCTCGCCTGTGCCTCCCGCTCTCCCCTCCTTCTTCTTCCCCCGGCCCTCCCCCTCCCTCCCAGCTTCCCTGCCTGGCTCGCTGCCTCCCTCGCCTCTTGTCTCATCTTGCCTGTGTTGTCTGGGAGGGGAGCCCTGCCTCCTCTCCCTCGCTCAGATCAATGCCCTGGCCACTCACTTTCTGATGTTGCACGACGGGAAATGCTTTGAATACTTACGACATGGCCGCTCACACTGATTGCCAAGATTGACAGCACTAACCATCGCCTTCACTTGTTTCAAGGGGGAAACCCCTAGTCTACCCGCTCTGCGCGCACTGCCCGGCTCCCGGCGGCAAACTTCTGCGGGTCAGCGCTCCCCCGCCCGGGGCGGGACACCCCCGCAGACTTGAGTTAACGGGCTGCGCCTGCCGCGGCGCTGGGGGGGTTCTGCTCTCTTGCTCCCGGGGCTGTGCTAATTGACCTAGCATCGACTCCCCTTCCTTAAAAGATTTTTTTTTATTTGTATCTTTCCCTTTTTCTTTAATGCCATTTACTCCCGCGGCGCAGCGCACAAGGAGCCCTCCCGCGCAGTACCATCCTGGAGCCCGCCCAGGTAACCGGGACGGAGCGAGCGATCTAGAGAGCGAGGGAGGCCGAGCGTGAGCGCGCGGCCCTTTTGCAAGCTACCTGTTGGGGAGCCGGAGGGGCAGGGGCAGGAACCCCGGGCCGGGCCGCCGTCCCTCAGTGCCTTCCGCCCCTGCCTTTCCCGGCAGCTGCAGGGTTAGTTTTCCTGAGCTGGGACCGAGGGGCTGGGGCAGGACCGGCGGAGGGACTGGAGCAGAGCGCGCGAGCCCCGCGAGGGCGCGGGGTACCGGGAGCCGCGGCCGCCCAGTCCGAGCGGGTTTCCGCGCTGGGCTGGGGAGGGGAAGGGGGGAGGAGGAGCGGGAGGAGGGCTCCGCGGGCCGTCGCAGAGGGAGGGTAGAGTCTGAGAAAGGGGCCCGAGCGCCTGCCGCTCGCTGGTGGACGCGCGGATCCCCGGGATGCGTCCCCCTCTCGGAGAGTTGTGCCTTGTTCCGGAGGCGGTGACAGATCTGCGTGGCGGGCTTCTGGTTTCCTTGCCACCCCCCAAAGCCCAAAATCCACGCCGAGAAAACACATGTTGTAGCTGTAGATAACTGTGCGTAGGACACTAAGGCAAAAAGTGCAGGGGAGTGAAACAGACAACGCAACCTTTGACAACAGAAAGCTGTTATCGCCATCCTAAGTATTCGTCCCGGAAATCTGTCCGTCCTCTCGGCCCACCTTATTCCTCCTCCTCTGGCTCTGTATAGATATTATAATCTATTTAACTGGGAATGATAGGAAAAAGAAGTCAGGTGCTTAGAGAGTGAATTTTTAAGTCTCCGTGAAGTTTGAGGTAGGTAACTCATTGAAGTTTGCACAAGTGTGTGATGTAAGAAGCTTGGGTGCCTGCGTGTGTAGTGTGTTCTCTCTCTCTCTCTCTCTCTCTCTCTCGCTCGCTCTCTCTCTCGCGCTCGCTCTCTCTCTCTCAGCATGTGCGTGTGTGCTCTGTGAGGGAGGGTTCAGATGGGACCGCTGGGTGGTAATGCCCTATGTTCCCACAAGAGGGCAGCATCCTGAGGGCTTCGTGAGCGCTGTATCTCTCGTTATCGCGGCAGGCTTGGGTTTAGAGAAAGTTCTACCGAAACTTTCAAACCGATATCTCATCTTATTTTGTGATATTAAAAAAGAAAGACAGAGAGAAAGAAGGAAAAAAGACAAATGAATAAAGAAGAGAAAGAAAGAAGAGAAAAGCAGGCAGCCGGTCTACCCCGGGATTGTCCCAGTCGCACCAAGACTTGGGGGAGGGCTGTTTTAATTGTGGGTTTGGCCGACTGACGACTCGAGTGCCCTCCTCGGCTGTCTTAAGTTGTAGCCGGAGGTCATGTAAATCGACCTTAAAAGAATGCATAAGCCATAAATTAAAATAAACCCTCACCCAAGGGCTGATCCATAAGTAGACAATATCCAACCTGGACAAAACGAGCTTTCCTTACGAGCCGACCTAAACCGCATCCCCCCAAAGAATAGAGACTAAATGCAAAGTAAGTTTCCCAACGAATATTTTGTTTTCTTGAAAAGTGTTGGGTTGGTTCACGGTGTGACTGACTGCGAAGGCGCAGTTTCCCGGAGCGCTTCAGTGTTAGCCAGGCTCCGGGTGCGGGAGGTGGGGAGGACCCGCTGGTTTCTGGGCTTCTTAACGCTACTCCCCACTCCCCCCCATTTTGGTTTGGAAACTTCGGCTATTTGCGGGGTTGACGCTGGGCGAGGGCGGGCAAGAGCCGAGGACCTCCGCCGCGCTCTCCGCCGGGTGAAGTTTCCCGGGAGGAGTTCATAAAGAAAACCCGGGTGGCTAGAAAACCATACGCTTCCTCCGCCCACACTCACCCCACCGCCGCTCCGCCGCAACTTTCCCGGGACCCCGCGCCAGTCGCTGCTAGCTCCCTCCGCTCTCTACCTTCCTCTCCCCTACCCTTATTTTTGGACTGACTTTTTATGATTTCTTTAGGAATAAACAAACCGATTTCCAAGACATTCCGAAACCCAAGTGCTAATCTGTGGTCCTCTTTGCCCGGGACTCTAGGGCAGCGGTGCCGGGCCCCGCAGGGGCATGTGTTACAGGCCGCCCAGCCCTGCGGGCGCAGGCTTGGCCTGGGAGTCCCCCGGCCCGCTCACAGTCACCCGCACCTCGCTGTCCTGCGCCCTCCCACTCCGCGCCCCGGAGCCCCAGCGGCGCCCTCCGTCCCTCTCGGCGCCCAGCCCGGGGCCAGTCGTCCGCTGCACTCTCAGCAGACTCGCCGAGATCCGAGGCTGTGAGGTCGGCCCAGGCCCGGGGGCGGTGCTGCCAGTCGCCGGAGCCGGGCTGTTCCCTGGGGAGCTGCTTTTTTTCTTTCTCCCTTAAAGGGCTGGTCGGAGAAGGGAAGGGGCTTGTGCAAAGCCTGCTGGGGTTGTGCGCGGGCGCCAGGAGGAGCGGCCCGCAGCTGTGGAGGACAGATTAGCTCCGTTTCCCGGGCGCTCCGCGGAGCTTTAAGATAAAAAGAGAATTGGTGTGTTCAGAGCAGATAAAAGGTGGTTTTTGCTGGCGTGTTTTGAGTTTTATTTAAGCTCTCTTAGGCTGACCAAGTTTGAAAACGTTTGTTTGTATGGGTTGCCAGATATTGAATGCTGCCCCTATTTGGGGACTAAAAATAAGTCTACGACTCTGCTGGCGGGGCTGGACTGTTAGCGAGATGGGCTGTCCCCGGCTGCTTCTGTGTGCGTGACCTCCTCTGAGGGCCGTGCTTGAAGTTTCGGTCTCGAGGTGGCCTGAAGCCGTCGCTGTGGCAAACTGGGCTGGGCTCAGGACCGCCCGCTGCACTGTCAGTGGGGCACTCGGATGACGTCCGTGTCCAGGGCGCTTGACCCCGGCGCGCACTCCAGTGGCCGGTCCTTCGCTGTGACTGGGAGGCCCGGCCAGCAATCCAGTAGAGTCGCGATGCGAGAGTGCTCCTTCTCCCCCGCCTCCCCAGGGTCCCCTCTCCTCTGCCCTTTATAGTCACATGCCCAGGTCCCGGCTCCCGAGGAGAACAGACACAGCCCCGCCCAGTCTATTTCTAGGAGGTGGGTTTGGTGAATAAAAAGGTCAAGTGGTCGGGTCCGCAAGCTGGTCCATGGCGAGGGGGGACTGGACGGACACCTGGCAAGGACCGCCCCGCCTATCCCCCCCCAACCCTGGCGGGTCCGCCCGCCCACGGCTGGCCTCCTCAGGCCACATTCTTTCGCTAAGTGTGAGAGGCTGTGGGAAAAGCAATCCCGAACCGGCCAAGAGCTGGCGAAGCTGATCCCGCGATGGCATTTTGTTTTGAACAGTTGCTTGGGTTGACGTTTCCTCATAAGGTAAGGTGTCACTGGACAGTCGGCTGCCCAAATGCCACATGTATAATTAGCTTGCGCACTCAGCACCTCGTCCCTGAGGCCCGAGGCCCATAGGCACGGGCTTGGCCGACTGGTCCACTCTGCTCCGTTCCGGCTGCCGGATTCCCGAAGAAGGGTGGAAACAGCCAGGGAAGCCCTGGGAGGCTCCTGCACTTGGGAAGACTGTGACAATGTAGCCTAGTCTTTGATTTATCTCTCTCCCTTTTCCTGTTCCTCAGCTCTTTTTATTTTTCGGTTGAAGAGGAACTACAGGTTAGAGGGATAAAGCGGGCACCAGCGGCAGGGAGCAGTCTGAATGAGGAAAGAGGATGCCGTGTAAATCTGGCAATATACCTGCTCTCCACACTCCGCCCATGGTGGGGGAGCTGTTAGTGCCCCTCTATCTGCTCCAGTCCTGTAGGACCCGTCCCAGTTTGGCATGCTATCCTTGCTTGGGGAGGGGCTTCAACATCTAGTTTGTATTGTTAACCTGTCTGTGTGCTTCTTCCCACCCCCATCCCAGAGGTCGCTCAACAAATTTGTATCCGTGTCCTGATTGCAGCTACTGTTTTCCCCCTCCAGGCCTAAACGCTTGGGGCTGCTAGTGTTCACTGTGGGGCGAGCCTGGACCGATCTGCTGTCTCTTGTTGTCTCTTCCTGTCTCACTCTTGTTCAGCTCCTAGAAGCAGTGCCTTGTCTCTCTATCTGTACCCAGACTGGTGCCTGAGCTTCTCACCTAGCTTCTCAGACCCCACTCTCAGGTCAGCTTTTGCCTGCACTCTCTGTTGGAAACCAGATTTCTGCAGTCAGGAACATGACCTTCCCTCTGTCACCCTGTGCAGTCACCATGGAATTCCAAACTCAGCATTAGGCACTTTCATCATTCTCCCTCCTCCCCTTCTTTCTAGACTGCTCAGATATGTCTGATATCTACTAGAAAAGTCTCTTTATTTTAAAACAAACAAACAAGCAAACAAACAAGCAAGCAAACATCTTAAACTCTACATGAATTTAGTGGGATAGGGTTAGCTTTGCTATGACAGCAAGAGAGCGCCTTTCAGGTGGGAGGTGGAGACACGGTTTTATTTAGTTGCACTGGATTTTTATTGAACCAATGAAATAGTTCATTGTCGTAGAGTAGGGGAAAGTTATGACTGAATTTTTAAACTCTACCAGACCATAAATGTATGATTTATATACTTCTGAGAGTATCTTTCTGAATACACATAAGTGAGCACATGGGCAGTAGGCCTAATGACATGTAGATTTCTTCTCTTACATTTTTGAAAACCTCAAAACTCAAGACAGATTGTCCTTATCCTAAAACAACAAGAACAACACAACATCCAACCAAAAAAGAATCATCCAGACTCTGAAAGCAAGGAAGTGTGCACCTCACTTATTAGATCTAGTTCATGACCAAAGGCAGTAAGTAACTAGGATCTAGATAAATGTAGGTCATTACCTAGGCAAACTGACATCCTCCGTTGCTTTTCTCATGTACTACCAACACCTCCTTTCTCCTCTGCTCTCCGGCCACATTCCATTATGCAGTGGCGAAGTGGGATAGTTTTTTAAAATTGTTCATCTTATTTAATGCTATTCTTAGTGTTTGTTTTGGAAGTAATGAGAAGGAAATTTCTTCTGCTGAATATACTTTTAAATGCAAAATGTATGGGTTTATTATTATTATGGAGCATGGTACAAACACCTATAATAGTGTATTAAATAACACTCAACATTATACTATAAAGATAAAGATACAAAACATTAATCAACCAAAACAATCAATCTCTATACCTTAAACTAATTCTATAATAGGTTCAGTAACAGTAACTGGAAGCAATGACGATAGGAGTATTACACTGTCTGTTGGACATTTTTTCATTCATAGCAGAAATCAACAGATATTTTTCTTAGGGAAAAGCATATGTTTAAAATATGCTAACATACCTGGAAAATCTTTCTTTATAAAGCTTTCAAATATGACATTCAGTACATAAATGATACATTTAGGTGGCATTTTATCTGTTTCTATTTGACTTTTTAAAAAGAATTATTGGATTATTGGTCATTGATAAAATTGCTACACATATTCATTTTCTATTGAATAAATCAGTGATGTTTTACATAATTATTTTTAAATTAACACAGTAAGTAGTGGAATAAATGAATTTTTTAAATAAGATTTGCTTTAGATTGGTGTTAAGCCTTACTTTTAATATTTTCTATACTTTTCAGTTTGGTTAGGTTGTATATCTCTAAGTTTGAAAGAATTCTCTTGTTGGTAAGAGAATTCATATGTATATATATACACACACACATATGTGTGTGTGTCTATGTGTATAATATGTATATATATTTACAAACAGCATTCTCCAAAAGTATAGTATAGTACAACTAAAATTTTGGTTGATATAAGAGCTGTTTAAGTATAGTTTAGGGGTGCATATATATCAATTGATGTTTTTGAAGTCAAGTGAAACATTCCATCAAGCTAATGTGTCTGAGAGTACCATATCAGGCACAGACAGGTACTAGAAATGATAAAACACAGATAACATACAGTGAGATGATTTGCAGATGGGACGTTTTATCTGCTGTCATGAGGTTAGATGGGTCATATTACTGGTTTAAAAAAATTAATCTAGCTTATTTCAGAATTATCAAGTTATGTAGGTATATGAGATTTAATGAAAAGAGATTTTATTATAGAAACTTGCTAAAACATTAACAAATATTCATTGCTTTGTAGAGGTGGAAATAGACTTTGTATTTGGGTTGCTTCTTGTTTAAGATATAGGGCTCTCCCCTATTATTTTTTTTCTAACAAGGACAATAATGTATTGAACACTTTATGCCTTTATTCTGACTCCATGTTTTCTATTGATTATACTCTGCATCTCAACATAACTTAAGTAAAAAAAAAAAAAAGCTGCCACTCCAGAACAGTCTGTGAAAAACAATTTTTATTAGATGTAAGCACATTTTAAATGTATAGCTTATCTGTTGGCTTGAGGTTCTTCAACTGTGATTTGGAAACTAATTGTTTTGGTAAGAGTTATATCAGAAACTTTCATCATTCTCTCATTACATATTCATTACTCATTTATAGAAAGGTGTTTTTATTTTTCCTGTTCTGTGGAAGAGGGTAAAAGCTTTTCAGTGAATTTTTTGTTTAGATGTTTAGTCAAACTGAAGATAGGTTTAAACTTGTGTTATGGTTTTTGATATAACTTTTCAAGTCTTAAGTACCCATTGTCACCATTTGGATAAAGTATCAATTGAAGAATGTGAATGGAGGCTGTAAGATGGAATATCATTTAAATATACCAAGGACTCTCTTACCTCCAAAAAAAGAGTGCTGGTCTGTTTTTCCTCACATCTGTGGTAGTCTCAAAAAGGGACCATAAAACCCTAAAACCTCAGAGAAACAGTATCGATTAAATTCTTAACTGCAAATCCTTCATATCATTGCTCAAAATATCCAACTTTACACTAATATTAGCCATTCTTTTTATAGTGACACCATGCTTAGTAAAAAACTTCTAAGCACTGAGGTCAGGTGTAGAGATTGGATTCTAGTTTATTTTTTATGAATCAGATAAAGATTTCTGTGCATGAGACCATATGTGAAGATGAGAGAACAAGAACATTTCCATATCAAAGGCAATATATCTGAGGCTGCATGGTAATTAAAATGCAGTGGTTTGGACTCTGTGCACTAGCACTTAAACAGAGCATTGCCGGGACCTTGTGCATCATGCAAGCGGTTGCCTCTTGCATACTTCTTGAAATACACTTATAATTTTGTACAAACATTTATGCCAGTCCACACTTTTCTGTGGATAATTTGTATTTCATCCAAACCATTCAAAGTAGAAGTTATTTTTCGAGCTACCCCCTCATTATGGCTTTTGTGCATCAACTATTTTTATTCCAGTTGTTTGTATTTCCTTTTACCAGAATGATGGCTTGTTTATATTCAGATTCTCTTCTTGCTCCTCTAAGACCCCTTATATGTCACTCACATTTTACTATTCACTCAAAAAAAAACTTTCAATTTTAGGAAAGATGTGAATTATTTTCTGAGGTTAATTGTAGATGCTGTAATCTATTATAAACTAATGAACCACATTTAAAAAATCAACTGCCTAGTTATTTCTACTTTATAATGCTAATATATTTAGTAATCCTTACTAACTTGCACAGTATATAATATTGGGGAAAATTCCTTTTTACAATATTTAGAGAATTCTGAATTTTTTTTTTTTACATTTTAATGGCATGAAAAAATGTGTAGTAGCATTCTTTTTCTTATTACCTTGAGTGAAAAACAATTATTTGAAATGATAGAAATCTTTATCTAAAGAGTTATCTCTTTGCATTTATAGGGAAATATCTGATGCCATTTATAAAGAACCGGTTAGCATCTTAACCTGTAGTTATTTGGGATAAAATAGTGAAATAAAAAAAATCTAACAATTGATAGTTAATTGTTGTATATGTTTTAGAAAATTTTGCATCTTTGGTAACTAGCTTGAATTTACTCCTCTGTAATTTTCTAGATTTTCTATTTCTGTATTTGCAGTCTATCTATGAGCATTCTGCTCTGGTACATCTGGCAAGGGATTCACTGGTATATTTTATTTACCAAGCTCTCCTGCTCTATAAAGCTTTTTAAAGATTTCTCTGGATTGAACCACCCATGTATTGAAGAAGCCTAACATGATATAATGGAATTTTTTGAGTTTTTGTGTTTGTAAATTGTTTTGGACCAAAATTACTTGAGTATATTGATTTGATGCTTTTTAATGATGACATATGCATGATAGATATAAGTTAAATTCAAAGTACATTATATGATGTGTGTTTATGCAAACATTCTATATTCACTCATTCCAAGTTCTCCCTTGATCTCTTTCTTCTCTGAATATCTCACAAGATAACCTTTGAAATAATCTATTATCCCTGCTACTTTC